CCAGAGGCTCCCTCATTGGACAACACAGCGTTAGGGAACTGTGTTGCGAAATTCTGTTATCCCAGTCTCCCTGAATCTTGTTTCTAATTTAAAAAACAAAACAAAACAAAAGAACTGTCTGTGGAGGACAGATTTAGGTGGAGAGTTTGTGTGTGGAGGGGGATCATCTTTAATCCAGCATTTCTTTAATTTCAGTGTTTCCTTCCTTTCATGTTGATGCAGTGAGTGGCTGCAAGCTTAGCTTGGGAAGGACAGGACAGGAAAGGCACACCAGTCACTAAGGCTGCCCATGGAATGCTCCGGCGTGGGCTTTCCTGGTTTCTGGTGAGAGGATTGGCCTTCTCAGTGGCATTTTAAACCGACTCCAGCAAGAGTGAGAACTTGCATGTGTGAGGCTCGGGTTCCGTTCTTGGCCAGTGTGCCTCACGTGCAGTCACTGCCCTTCCGTTGCTGGAGGCTTGCGTGCCCTCTGCTGCTGACCAGCTGTCAGCAGGGCTCCTGACTCAGACGGCCTTGGGAGAAAGGCCTGGGGACCTGCTTCTGGAAGTCAGCCAGTGGAAGACCGCTGGATCCCAAGGGCCCACTGCTCAGTGAATCACGGGTGTGGGTCAGGAGTAGGCATTGATTTCACTGTGTGTGGGGTGGCCATGAGCTGGGGGGCTGACTTGCCAGCAGCTCACAACAACATCAGTGGAGAGGGCGTGGCAGGAATGCAGCTGGGCCCAGAAGTGCCTTCTCTGCCCATCTCATCTTTGCTTCCCTGGGCTTCTGTGCCATTGTCCTTCTTGGCAGACTTCCTGTTCCCTGGTGTGAAGTCCATGTGATGGGCAGATGTCTGCTCACAGCTCCCAGTCCCATGTGACAGTCTCACCCACACAGTCTCTCTCACTTTCCAGCTTCCACTCCTGTTCCCAGGGTAAGGAACCTGGTCCATCTTGGGTCTGCAGGGGCTAGGAGGAGGTTATCTTGAACAAACAAGGTGACTCACTCTGAGGATGTGGAGGGGCACCTCTAAGGTGTTGTCATTGTGGGCTAGGCATGCTCCCCGAGGGATCCACTGAGTCTTCTCTCCACCAGTTCCCTCCCCTGCCCCTTGCCTCTGGATTTGCTTGGCACGAGCTCAGTACCTAGCTCCCAGGGGAGGTGCGATCTTAAGGAGACCACTGGAGCAAATTCTCTCTTTAGTAATCTTGCTTTTAAACATCGGGTGACCAGGTTTTGTTTTGTTTTGTTTTAGACCCTCCTCCTCCAGATGGATCCCCTAACATCACATCTGTCAGTCACAACTCAGTAAAGGTCAAGTTCAGTGGGTTTGAAGCCAGCCACGGGCCCATCAAAGCCTATGCTCTCATTCTCACCACGGGGAAAGGTAAGGAGGGGTCATCACAGGGTAATCAGTGAGTGATGCCAGTGACCGCCTGCCGTTTCTGTGTCCACTGAAGCACGTTCATGGTGCAACACATGTCTGTCTTTTACAGTGTAGCTTACGTTTTGACACGCAGACCTGGAGAGGGTAAGCTGTTTGCCTATGGTGCTAGCTTGGCGAACTTGTGTCAAGGGCTGGATAGCAAATATTTCATGCTATTTAGATCTTAGGCACCTGTTGGAGCTCTTCAGTTCTGTTGTTGTAGCAGGAAAGCAGCCCGTGGCTGTCGAGTTGCTGCTGACTTAAGGCAACCCCATGTATGCAGAGAAGCAATGGATTCCACAGGGTTTTCACAGTGGTCATCTTTTGGGAGCAGTTTGCCAGGCCTTTCTTCTGCAGTAGTACTGGATGGGTTCAAACCCCCAACCTTTAAGCCACCTGGAGTCCTTAAAAGCAGCCATAGACATTGCAGAAAGAATGAGGGCAACTAACTTCCAATACAGCTCTGCTTACCAAAGAAGTGGTGGGTTGGATTTGGTTCACAGCCATAGTGTGCTCACCTCTGAACTAAGTTTTCCTTCTCTTTTACAACACAGGCTCTTTCAGGTGGCAGAATATTAGTCTTAACCAGTCTTGTTACACACACAGAGACGTGCACACACACGCATCCACGTAATCGTCCCCAGAGCAGATGACTTTTCTTGAAGGGAAGTAGATTCGCATTTATTGGTGTGAACTGAAAAAGATCATCCTTGTAGCTGAGAGAGGAGGTGGCGTAAAGACTGCTGCTTCGTAAAGGTTCTGTTACATTATTTGGCAATAAGAAGGGAATGGTTCGAGGTCATCGTTAATAGCTGCATGTGTGTTCCTTGCACAAGGCCTCAGCCTACAATGCCAAGTTTAGTTTTTTTGGTGACTCTGGAAACTAAATGTGAATGAAGCAGTCCCTCCCATGGCCAGTCTCTCCAGTGGTGTGGCATCCTGGTCTCGATCAAGGTCAAGGCCACATGTTCTGTGAACAATGTGGGAGCCCTGGAAGATGAAGAGTTGGCTGGGGCCATGATTCTGCAGAAGATTTCAAAAAGCAGTGTGACATTGTTCTTTTTCCTTTCTTTTTATTTTGGGTCTGTTTCAAGCTCTTATTCATTTCACTGCAATGATTTTCAACACCTCCCAGGCTCAGAGCTTTGCCGAATGGGAGTGGCGGTGTTGTGTAATGGTCAGACCATCTGCTTCCCCTCTTACGCGATGTGGTCTTGGGAATTCCACTTACTCTTGGTCTAGGAAGCTTCCACAGCCTCAGTAAATGAGCCCACAGGCTCTGAACCACATGGTCTGGATTAGAAATCTGAGGGCCAGGTCTTTAGCTTCCTATGCCTTCATTTCTTCATCTGTGCAATGGGGATAATAAACATAGCTACAATGTTGATGGTACCAACCCATCCAGAGGCATCTCGGAAGACAGGCTCAGCAGTCTGCTTCCAAAAGGTCACAGCCTTGCAAACCCCGTGGAGCGGTTCTGGTCTGCCCAGGTGTGGCCGGTGAAACGGAATTGACTCCACAATAGCTAACAATGACAACAACAAACCTTTGAGATGAGATTATTGCCAGGATATTAAATGAGTTGATACAAGTTAAATCCTTACAACAATGCCTGGTACAGAGAGAAGACGCTGAGAAATGGTCAATATTATCATTATCCCCCTGTGTCATCATTGTTACTTCCATATGTTGGAGATTTGAATCACTATCTGCCAGTTTTCTTAGGTTTTTTTTTTTTAAGAGATGATCACTATTGTCATTATCCCTCAATGTCAACATCATTATATGTATCTGATAATGCATTGATTTAAAATCACCATCTGCCACCCTTTCTTAGGCTTTTATTTCTGTGCACCTTTCTTAGCTGAGTATCCATCGGCAGATGTTTTGAGATACAGATATGAGGATTTCAAAAGTGGGGCCTCAGATACTTACGTGACATACCTCATAACAACAGATGAGAAGAGTCGTTCTCAGGGCTTGTCTGAAGTCTTGAAATATGAAATTGATGTTGGGAACGAGTCAACCACGTGTGGCTATTTCAATGGGAAGTTGGAACCTCTTGGCTCCTATAGGTAATGTCCTCTGGTTCTTGCTCTTGGGGGGCTGATCCCCATGAGTACAAAGCTCTGCATGCCTGGAGCAGTGGACACATCTCAGCCACCTCTTTCTTCTCCCTGTCTCCAACAGAGCTTGTGTGGCGGGCTTCACCAATATTACCTTTAACCCTCAAAACCATGGACTCATAGATGGAGCCGAGAGCTACGTGTCCTTCAGTAACTACTCAGATGCTGTTTTCTTGCCCCAGGATCCAGGTAGAGGAAAAACAACAGTGCTCTTGGCACTCAGTGGGTTTTTTCTTAAACTGTGTCCACAGAAGGCCCAGTGTCTGTTCCTCCTCTGGGCCCCAGGATGGTTGGCATGCCAGGCTATCCTCTCCCAGAACATGAGAGATCACTTGGCCTCCCCGGCTTAGTTCTGAGGTCACTGACAGTCTTCCCACACCCCAGACACACTGTTCACCTCTGAATGCCTAGTGCACCTCCAGCCTACAACACCTGTTTAGTCCTGTTGTTTCCAGAGGCGTGTGCCTGTGTGCCAGCCACGTCTGTGAAGTTCAGCAGGTGGAGTCCTGGGCCGGCTGCTGGTGCAGCAGGTGGTCCTGTGTGAACACCTCTTGAAGTGCCTCCTGTTTGGGCTTTTCCCAGGTGTCATCTGTGGAGCAGTGTTTGGCTGTATCTTTGGTGCCCTGGTCATTGTGGCTGTGGGAGGCTTCATCTTCTGGAGAAAGAAAAGGTGACTGATGACTGCTTATGTTAATAATAATAATCACTATAAAAACGGTTGCTGCAGAGTTGATTCCACCTCCTGGTGGCCTCACGTGTGTCAGAGTAGAACTGTGCTCCATAGGATTTTCAGAGGCTGATCTTTTTTGGAATCAGATTACCAGGACTTCCTTCCCAGACATCTATGGGTGGAGTGGATTTGAACCACCAGCCTTTTGGTTTGTAGGCACATGTGTTTAAAATTTCAAACCTTCCTCAAAGTGGACGCAATAGTATAATGAGCCCCATATTCCCACTACGTATGGAAATTAAACAACACACTAGTAAACTCCCAGTGGGTCAGGGAAGAAATCACAAATTTCGTAGAGTCAAATGAAAATGAAAGCACAACAGACCAAAACTTAAGTGAAGGCCGAGCTCAGGGGGAACCTTCCAGCAATAAATGGCTGTATAAAGAAAGAAGAAAGATTTAAACAGCCTCACTCGACAACATGAGGAACTGGAAAGAGAAGTGCAGAGTAAGTGTAAAGCCAAAGAAGGGACATAATAGAGGTCAGAGGAGAAATAATTAACCCAAAACAGAACAACAATAGATGTAAGATGCCCTTGAAAGCAGGGAAACCCAGAATCAACCTTGTTTTGTCTAATGGTTCTTTTTTTCTTCCAAACAGGAAAGATGCAAAGAACAATGAAGTGTCCTTTTCTCAAATTAAGTAAGTCTCCATGAGAGCTCCAGGTGAAGTTTTCCTCCCTGCTCTGTTCGGTGACAATCTGCAGAATGTTTGATGGGTGGAACTTCCTGTCATTTCTCCTGATTGACATATTTAGCCATAGGGATCTGGAAGTTGTTGCTTTATTACTGTGCAAGGAATTTATGTTTGATTAATTTCCTGAGGCTGTTTGCCTTGCCATATGCTACTGACAAATGTATATTTTGTGATGAGATTCTTATTTATTTGTTATATTGCAATAAATAGGTTACCAGGATATAGAGGGATAGAGGAACTTAATGTTATAAAGCCGGTTGGTTACATACCTCAGCCTAGAAATCAGATCACCTCTGTATCAGTGTTTTGTAAATGATATCACAGTGTGCACCCCCCCCCATTATAGTCTGGGTTTTGTTCTTTTGGGAAGGTGTCTACTGTTGTCTCCAGAGTCATGGCTGAGTCAATGTTTCTCATTGTTTCTTTTCTTTCCCTTTCTGTGATGAAGACCTAAAAAGTGAGTAAAATCTTTTTCCTTTTTTTTTAATTACTTGTGTTTTTCTACTTTGATATGAACTCTGCTGAATGCAAAAAACCTCAAAGTTGTTTTGTTTTCTTAGATCGAAGTTACTCAAAGTGGAACATTTTGAGACCTACTTTAAGAAGCAGCAGGCTGACTCCAACTGCGGGTTTGCAGAAGAATACGAAGTATGTGGTTGTCCATAGTGTGTTTGTGATTGCTCTGTAGTGTGCTTTTCTGGAAGGCTGGCAGACCTCTCATTTTGGTTTGAATGATGAAGCTTTGGGTAAGAGGAAAGAGACCCTGTTAGAGTAGGGAGAGGCATTCTTGCATCTCCCTGGAAGCCCCACTGTGGTCACATCAGCTGTAGTTCTAGTAGTCGTTGTTAGCTGCCATTGAGCCAGTCCGGACTAATGGTGACCTCATATGTGCAGAGTAGAACAGCTCCATAGGCTTTCAAAGCTGTAACCTTTTGGAAGCAGATCGTCAGACCTGTCTTCCAAGGTGCCTGTGGGTATGTTCGAACTGCCAACCTTTCTGTTAGTAGCAAAACTACTTAGGTGTTTGTGCCATCCAAGAAACTTGTTTTTAGTGGACAGTGTATTTAATCTTACTGATATCTGAAGTTTATCCAGATAGTAGAGCAAGTGGGAATTCAAGCTAGGGAGCTATTAGCTAGAGTAATTAGGATGCTCTCTGAATTGATGCATTTGAATTATGGTGTTGATGAAGAATATGGAATATACCATGGACTGCCAGAAGAATGAACAGATCTGGCTTGGAAGAAGTATAGCCAGAATGCTCCTTAGAAGTGAGAATGGCCAGACTTCATCTCTTGTAGTTTGGTCTTGTTATCAGGGGGGCCCAGTCCTCAGAGAAGGACGTCATGGTTAGTAAATGCCAAAGGGACAAGGGGGTGGCATCTTCTCACCTCCTCTAACTACACAAGAGGAAGACAGAATCACCAGCAGCAGCTGAAAGCATGTTCTTATGAGGCCAGACATGCCGCCACCTTCCAGCCCCCTTACTAATCTTGACACCAACCCGTGGCACCCACCACCTCTCTGCTGGGTTTGATAATTTGCTGCAGTGGCCACACACAACTCATAGATTCTGGGGGGTAATAGGGAAGCACCAGACTATAATTCAAGTTCAGGAACACGGTCAGTCTCTCTCAGCAGCCGGCCATCTTTCTCAGCAGCACATCTCTCTCAGTCGGCAATCAGAGATTCCTTCTGCCTCTAGGAGGGCTCCTTTTAAGCCTGGCAGAGTGGCAAAACTAACCAGTTCCAACATCAGAATTCTACACGCCTGAGAGAGAGTGTGTATCTTCCGAACTACCCAGAAGATTCCTTCGTGTTGCCCCAGGTGGGTGGCTTTAACAAGCAGCTCTACTCAGTGCTCATGGCAAAGTGGGAAGTATAAAGCCTATGGCTGGAAGAGCTGGACCATGTAGTTTACTACACCCCACAGTAAAGTGGAGGGTCAGCAGAAGGGCGGGAGACCCTCAACGCGATGGATTGACACAGGGACTGGAGCAACGGGCTCAAGCATAGCAAGGATCATGAGGACGGTGCAGGACTGGGCGGTGTTTCATTCTGTTGTACCCAGGGTTGCTCTCAGTCAGATCCAACTTGATGGCACCGAACAGTAACAGCATATGAGCTGGAAATAAACCAGATGAGATGCTTTGGGGTCTGGGGCTGAAGAGCTGTGTGGTTGGTGTTGACCATGGAGATTCCATGAGCTCTGCAGGGCTTTCTGCCTTGCAGGCCATCACATGCTTTACTCTAGGCAGCCCGGGAGCAACCCTGCTTAGAATCAGCTGCGCACATTTGTCCTTTGTGGGCTGCCCCTGCTATGAGTCTCTGTCTTTATTGAAATCCTTCTTACCACTTGTATCAGTTTCCTAGGGTTTCTGCAACAAATTACTGCAAATCTAGTGGCTAAAACAATAGAAATTTACTCTCTCATAGTTCTGAAGGTCAAAAGCCAGACATCAAAGTGTTACCAGGGTGTCATTCCCTCTGAAGGCTTTCAGGAAGAACCCTTCCTTGCCTCTCCCAGCTTCTGGTAGCTCCTAGTGTTCCTTGGCTTGTGGCTGCATCACTCCTGTCCTTTCTTTGATCTTCACATGTCTGTCTTCTCTTCTCTCTGGGTCTCTTCTCTGTGTGTCTCTTGTAAGGACACTTGTCATTGGATTTAGGATCTATCCAGATCTGATCGCATCTAAGATCCCTGTAGGTTGTAGGCTCCTTGACGGCAAGGACTGTCCTTTTTCTTTTCTTTTTAAAAATGATTTATTGTTATTATTTTTGGTGAAAATATACACAGCAAAGCATGTACCACTTCATCAGTTTCTACATGTATCCTTCAGTGGCATTGGTTATATTCTATAAGTTGTGCCACCTTTCTCAACAAATTTTTCCAAACTTTTCACCATCATTAACACAAACACATTGCCCTCTTAAGCTTCTCAACTATCTTTTTGAATTGCTGTTGTCAATTTGATCACATATAGATAATTCTTGCAAAAGAGTATTATGCTTAATGCAGACATTATTTTCTAATTAGCCTAAGCGGTTCAAAGATGACTTCAGGGGATAGTTTTGGTTCAAAGCTTAAAAATTTCCTTAGGGTAATCGTTCAAGAGGGTTATTCAGCCTCAGTGGCTCCAGAAATTCTGGATTCTGTGAGAATTTTCAATTCTATTCCATGTTTTCCCCCTTTTGATCATGATTCTTCTATAAAATCCTGGATCTAAATGTTCCATAATAGTAGCTGGATACCATCTAGTTCTTCTGGGCTCTCATGGTAAAGCAGACAGTTGTTCATGGAGGTGATTAGACAAATATTCTATTTCCTCGGTGATCCTGCCCCTCCATCTTCCTCTGGTGTTCTCAGTAAATGGACACTAATTGTTGTGCCTTAAATGGCAGCTCTGACAGTTTTAAGAGCCCAGGCAGTATACAGCGAACTAGGAGGTTGAATGGAAGCACCAAAATAAATATTAGGCCACTTGACTGGAATGTCCCACAAAACTGTTAGCCTAAGCCTTTGAACTGATGTTCTTGTCTTTTAACTTTTGCATTTCATTTGTTCTGTCACGTTCTGCTCAGTAAATAGTATCATCTAAAGACTAAATGAAAGCTCACTTACTTTGTTTGTAGGACTTGAAGCTCGTTGGAATTAGTCAACCCAAATATGCAGCTGAATTGGCTGAGAATAGAGGAAAAAACCGCTATAATAATGTTCTGCCCTGTAAGTGTCTTTATCCACAATATCTTCTCTCTTTCTGGCAGTAGAGAGGGTGTGGGAGTCCTTACCTGTAAAATACTAAGTTATGCATTTTCAAGACGCAATGGATGCTTGGTGTTGCCATTTTATGTTTCTTTTGTTTTTCTCTTGTGTGCAACTTTCCTAAAATGTTTGCTCCTAATGAATTCTTTTCTTTCATTGCTACAGATGATATTTCCCGTGTCAAACTTTCAGTCCAGACCCATTCAGCTGACGACTACATAAATGCAAACTACATGCCTGTAAGTGGGGAGATGTTCCCACAGCTCTGGTGTGTGTTGAGAAAATCTCCCCAGCTCCACTTTGTTTTTGTGTTTTGGATTAATATGTGTTGCTTTCCATTTTTAGGGCTACCATTCCAAGAAAGACTTCATTGCCACACAAGGGCCTTTGCCCAACACCTTGAAAGACTTTTGGCGTATGGTATGGGAGAAAAATGTATACGCCATTGTTATGTTAACCAAATGTGTTGAACAAGGAAGGGTAAGTGTCATAAAAACACTTGTCTTTTGTAGGGGGAAAAAAAAATAAAACACTCCTTCAAACATTTGTATCTCTATCCTTAGAGCTTATTTTCTGTCTTTTCCTCATAAGAGAAAAGGTGAAAAAGAATTATATTTTGTTAGTGTCTTTCTTTGTGGGCGTATAGCATGTTGTCTACTCTTAAAACCCTGCAGTTGGAGTTATTAAATTTAGGACTTGGGTTAGCTCCCAGGGTTGGAGCAAGAAAGCCCATCTTACTGGACAATTAGCTGTTTAATCTGTGACAGGAGAGATTCGACCAACTTGGCTTTTAGCACCCTTTCGTGATACCCTGGAATCTCCCTGCCACTTCCACCAAAGATAAGATTTATTCTGATAATAAAGTTCCATGTTTCCATAAATGGATAAAAAGAGAATTGAAAACTGCATGATAACTTCAAGAATTCTGTGTCAGAGAAATAGTGCCCAACATTGCTTGGTGAATTTTTTTTCATGTAGATTCATTACTTGAGGAATAGGATAGGAAGCTCTTCCATGACCCAGTGGTTTTCAAACTTAAACACACATCAGAATCACTCGGAGGACAGTTTCATGCCCCAGAGTCTCTACTTCAGAAGGTCTGGAGTGGCGCCTGGGGGTTGCATTTCTGGCAATCCCCAGGTGACGCTGGTGGCTGTCGACACTTTGGGCAGCACTGCCCTAGGTGATGGTGGGAACCTGACGGCATAATTTCCTTAATGTTCTTTATTTTACCTTAATTGAGCAGATGTTTGTTTAGCACCAACTATGTCCCTGTGGTAAGGGCTACATGAGAAGGAGGGAAAGATAAAAAGGGTAAGAGATGGTTCCCACGTCTACATTGCTTGTGATGCAGAACGGGTTGGGTTCTGTACCCCCTTAGTGCATCGGAAAACAAGCTGTTATGGAAATAAAAACAGCATTGCTTTATGAAGGCAAGTCAACTTCATGGTGCTGTTGAGTTCAGGCCTAGCACATGGAAGACCCCTATAAATATCTGTTAAACACGTGAGAGTGACGTGGTGAAATTAACGGAAGCCATGAAGATGAATTTAGGTGGATCACTGTTTATCTCAAGTCAGGATAACAGTGGGTGTTACTGATGCTGGGTAAAAGGAGAAGGGAACTAACAAATTCTAGGTGGCTTTTATGCACTATGTACTCTGTGTTAGTATCCATAATTACCAGTTTATAGATGGGGAAACTGAGGCCTAGAGAGTTAAAAAACTTGCCTGTAAAGGAGCCACAAATATTTAGCTGATAGGAGTCTGAGCTGGGAATCAGCCTTATATCAGTGTGTGTCCAAGTTGTCATGTGGTCCAGAAATTGGCCATTTACAAAATGCAGATCCCTGGACCAGACAGAGTCAGACTCTCAAGATGGGGCCCAGGCATCTTTTTTTATTTTTTATTTTAACAAAATAGACCGCCCCAGATGAGTCAGGTTGACAGCTAGGTTTGAAAACCACCATAGGTTTCCAAGATGGTATCACTACAGAAATATATTGCCCAATCTTCCTTCTGAGGAGTGGCTGGAAGGTTTGAACTATCAGCCTTCTGGTTAGGGGTCAAATGTCTTAGGCACTATGCCACCAAAGCTCTTTTTTTTTTTGCAGTAGAGAGTACATCTCGGAAAGTTGAGGGTTTCTTTTTAAATTTTATTTTTAAAGGTTATTTTCCAAATAAGGACTAAGATATTTTCAGACAGCAGCAAAAGTTTACTGATTTTCATTTCCCTTCATATCTGTGTGTCAATTTTATCAAAATCAAAGACCCCATCATGACTTTGTTTGATCTTCTTTATTGATGTTTGTATAGTTATTGGTTGCAGTTGGTGTATATCTGAAAGTATTGGGAAAGTTCCTATTTCTTCTAGTTGCTCGGGGTTATGGGTCATCAGCTAACAGTTGTGGAGTGGCTGCTGCAGGGGCCAAACAGGACTGCATCCCATGTGATGAGACGACTGCTCCACTCTAAGGCCAAATTCCCGGGCGGAAATGTCGGCCCAGTGCTGCCGGATTTTCTGATCTTTCCAGAGAAGCCAGAAATCTGGGTTTTTAAAAATGCAAAATCTACCATGGCAGATGGTGTGATCTGCATCTTTGTGTAAAAGTGTAATTTTGTTGTAGACCAAATGTGAGGAGTACTGGCCCTCTAAGAAGGCTCATGACTACGGGGACATAACTGTGGCAATGACGTCAGAAATTGTTCTTCCGGAATGGACCATCAGAGATTTCACCATCAAAAATGTAAGTAAGAGGCCAGGGTGCCTAAATCTGAGCTGTTGGTAGTTGCCGTCCGGTCGATTCTGACTCATGGCGTTACTGGGCACAACCGTGTGACGTTGAGGAAGCAGATCACTAGGCTGAGTGAGTTTGAACCACCAGCCTTTAGGCCAGGGACCTTAAATCGCATATAAAATTACCATACTAATTTTGGGGTGACAGTTTTTTATGCATCAGAAGACTTTTGCTTTCTTCTTGGTATACAATAATCCATACTTACGTATACCTCTGGGAGCTCTGGTGGTGTAGTACCTAAAGCACTTGACTGCTAACTGGAAGGCTGGTGGTTCAAACCCACCAGCCACTTCTGGGAAGGAAGACTGGGCAATCTACTTCCGTAGAGATATCACCTCACAAACCCAAAGAGGAGTCTCGCTATGAGTCAAATTGACCTGATGGCAGTGAGTTTGGGTTTTTTTTTTTTTAATTTTTATTTATTTTACATACTCCTCTTGGCAACCCTTTAACTCTTTTTTCTTGAGGGAAATTTTGTAAGTTATACTTGAGTAGAAAGAACCTTAAGAGCGTGGCTCTGCAGCTGTTAACTTCCAGTTTTCAGGTCACGTGCTCAATATTTTCCTTACCAACCATGGCCTTTAGGATTAATGGTGGGAAATGTGGCATCGGGGGTGGCCATTTGTGGTTGGGGGAGTTTGTTGTAACGGTTACATTAACTGGCTTTAGGACATGTGCACATGGCCTCCCTGCCCCACAAAAGTTACTAAAATAAGTCCAGGTAAATGGAGTAGGCTTTCTAGAAAGTCAGACTATGTGCCCTTCTTTTTCTTTTTTTAAGGGAGTTTGAAATAGAAAGGCTCTCTGATGGCACTGCGATTAAAGCATTGGACTGCTATCCAAAAGGTTGGAGGTTCCAACCTATTAGCCACTCTGCAGGAGAAAGATGAGACAGTCTGCTTCCGTAAAGATTTACAGCCTTGGGGCAGTTCTGCTTTCTTCTGTAGGGTTACAGTGAGTCAGAATCAACTCGATGGCAGAGGGTGAAAATAGAGGCAGCACCGTGACCCTGGGATCTAATGCTGAGTCATTTAGCTGCTGTTCTCAATCCCATGCAGTTCACTACTGAGCTGCTGCTTGACCCCACTTGTCTTTTTAATACGTTAGGCAGCCTTTCTCTCTGAATCAAGCCTCTTTCCTTGGCCTCCAGATCCAGACAAGTGAGAGTCACCCCCTGCGACAGTTCCATTTCACCTCCTGGCCGGACCACGGTGTTCCTGACACCACTGACCTGCTCATCAATTTCCGGTACCTGGTTCGTGACTACATGAAGCAGAGTCCTCCTGAGACGCCTATTCTGGTGCATTGCAGGTATGTAGATGGCACACTGTGTATGTGGGGGGTCCTTGGGGTTTTAACGTGACAATTTGAACATGTGAAGTGTATGTTTATGAGCATGTTAGAAGAGCAAGGAATAAGGGGTAATTCAATGGGCATTTACAAACCCAAGCAAAGTGTAGATAAGGGAGGGGCCGGCGATGGTTCAGTGGCAGAACTCTCCCCTTTCACGCTTGAGACCTGAGTTTGATTCCTGGCCGGGGCTCCTCGTGCGTGGCTGCCACCTGTCTGACAGCAGAGGCTTGTGTGCTGCTGTGATGCTGCACAGGTTTCAGGGGAGCTTTTAGACTAAGACGGACTAGGAAGGAAGACGTGGTGATCTGCTTCCAAAAATCAGCCAGTGGAAACCCTGTGGGTCACAGTGGGCCAGACTCCAGCCGACAATGAGGATAGGGCAGGACGAGGCAGCACTTCATTCCACTGTGCATGGGGTCCCTGTGAGTCGGGGGTCAACTTGACAGCAGTAAACAACAACATGGATAAGGGACCATGGACTTCCTAAGCCCTGAGACTCTAGAACAGAGGTTGTAAACTCCGGCCGATAGGCCAAATTTGGTCAGGTGCCTGCTTTTGTAAATGGTTTTATCGAACATGGCCGTGCCTGTTTGTTCATTTCATTTTGCCTGTGATTGCTTTCATGTTCAGTGGGAGAGCTGAGTAGTTACGACAGAGACTATATGGTCTGAAAAGCCAAAAAGTATTTACTCTCTCACCATTTGCAGAAAAAGTTTGCCAACTCCTGCTCTAGAACAATAAAGGAGTTAGCTTTCAAGCAAAAAGGATCGGTTTAGGACAGCAAGAATGAATGGAACTGAGGATCAAGAGGCTGTGGGGAAGTGTTTTATTTGTGACATTCAACTCAGCAGTAAGGTTAGCCCTTGGGCCCCAGTCCCAAGCCAATGTGGTCTGACGGGCTGAAGTGAGTCTTTGCAATTGAGCAAATGTTTCATGGACTGGGCATTACCCTCAAGAGCTTGCAGTCTAGGGTGATAGTGGAGGAGCTCAGGATGCGTTTACCAGTGACACTCACGGAGTGTGCACAGGAGAGGAAGCCCAACCTGCTGTCGCTGGTAGAGAGGGAGACCTTGAGTCTGCGTGGGGAGAGTTGGGAGTGCTACGGTAGACGCGACCCAGCGAGATGTGCGTATTTCTTCTGTCTTTCAGTGCTGGGGTTGGAAGGACAGGTACCTTTATCGCCATTGATCGTCTTATCTATCAGATGGAGAACGAAAACACTGTGGATGTGTATGGCATTGTGTACGACCTTCGAATGCACAGGCCTTTAATGGTGCAAACAGAGGTGAGGCCAAGATCTGTGCTCAACAGTCCACCCTTCCCAACCATTTGCAGAAGATTGCATTGTGTCATACACTTGTGTTAAATTATTTTTAATAATTTAAAATTACACCTTTGTGGCTCTTGATTGTGAGGTAACACTGGATTTCTTTTATGGACCCTGAGTTGATTGGAATTGAATTATCCTATACATATGAGAGGGAGCTCTGGTGGCATAGTGCCTAAGGATTTGACTGCCAGCCAAAAGGTTGGCAGTTCAAACCCACCAGCCATGCTGTGGAAGGAAGACTGGGCAGTCTACTTCCATAAAGATGTACTGCCTTGGAAACCCAAAGGAGGTCACTGTGAGTCGGAGCTCTGGTGGTGCAGTTGGTTAGGCCATTTGGCTGCTAACCAAAAGATTGGCAGTTCGAACCTACCAGCTGCTCCATGGGACAAAGATGAAGCCACTTGTCCCTTTTACAGCCTTGGAAACCCTATTGGGCAGTTCTAGTCTGTCCTATAGGGTCACTATGAGTTGGAATTGACTCATGGCAGTGGGTTTACACATATGAGACATTAGTGGCTCAGGGTGGAATTCTCACCATCCCTGTGGGAGACCTGCATTTAGTTTCTGGCCAGTGTGCCTCATACACTGTCACCATCTATAAGTGGAGGCTCATGTATGGGTGTGATGCCGAACAGATTTCAGGAGAGCTTCCAGACTAGGAGAGACTAGGAGGAAAGGCCTGGGCATTGACATCAGAAAATCGGCCAGGGAAAATCGTATGGATCAGTGCAGTCTCATCCGCAGCCAGTCACAGGGAGGGCGCAGGACCGGGCAGCGTTTCGTGCTGTTGTACGTGGGATTGCCATGATTTGGGGTTGACTCAATGGCAGCTGACAGGGACATAGGAACAGTGGCATCAGTGTGGAGCAACCGACCAAGATAATATTCCGATTCTTTAACTTGCTGCCGCTGGGTCAATAATTTCAGCAAGCCTCTGAACTTTGATTTCCCAGTCTAAACTTCGTGGCAGTTTTGTTCTTTGTTTCTAATATCTGGCCATCCTTAAAATAAGCTAACAAAGCAGATTTATCAATCGTTAATGATAATGCTGCTTTAAGCACTGATGAGGCAGCATCTCCTCAACCAGCTTAAGTGATCCCGTGTTACAGAAAGTAAATTATCACAGCTATGCAACAACTGCTGACCAGTTGAGAAAATACGTGCTTAATATCCACAGTGTCATTTGTGTAAGGCCACTGAACTTGGCTTTCTCTGAAATGTTCCTGATGAACAGTGTTTTTGGCCTGCTCTTTGAAGAATATATTGGAAAGTAACTGCCCTCCAAGCTGAATATACCTGGGTCAGGAGGAGAGCAGAATCGTAATTTTGTATCAGACGGTCTCATTGTACCATTTTTGAACTCTGTAAATATGTGTGGTATTTTTGAGTCTGGCAGGGAATGTTCCAGAGGCCTGCATACGTTGTGTGCTTTGAGGAAGTGTGTGGTTGTGGTGGAAAGAGTGGAATCACCTCCTGCATTGGTCAGAAGAAAGATTTTCTTTTTTCTGCTACAATTCTGTACAGTAGCATTTCTCCAAGGACCCTTGGTGGCTCAGGCTCAGAGCTCAGCTGCTGACGGAAAGGTTGGTGATTGAACCCACCAGCTGCTCTGCAGGGAAGGATATGGCAGTCTGCTTCTGTGAAGATTTACAGCCTTGAAAACCATCTAGGCAGTTGGGCGCTACCCTGTAGGGTTGCTTAGGAGTCAGAATTGACTCCATGGCAGTCAGGTTTATAGGAATGCTTTGCCAGCCTTTGATCCTTTTTTGTACCACATAAAAATCCTGTGCCTATCTACAAGTTCTTTTCTTCTCCCTGTTTTAGATTTTGAAAATAATACTTGTTCATATGAAAAAAATTAATAATACAGGACTACAGAGTATATAGTTCCCTTTTACTTTTTTCCTCCCCAATCTCATTCCCTAGAAATAGCTCTGTGTATAGCTTGGCATAATGTCCTTATGGGGCTCTTTGTGTTTGTCTGTAGAAACACACCCACCCACACAAGTATGGAATAGTTACAAAAATTGGATCCTATTTTGTTCTATAACCCTGCCCCATGAATTCTTCTCTTGTAGCGTCGTGGATACCTTCCTGTGTCAGCATAAACCTCTTCTTCCTCCTTTTAAGTGGCTACTTGCAGATTCTAATATGGGCTCCTAAACTCCACATCACTCACTCCCTTTAGCCCACCCCTGCTGTTGAGAATTACAATTTACATCTTATTCTGCACATCTTCAGTAGCCAAGACGATTTTGTCAGACTTCTTATTGTTTGAATGTGCATGCGTGTGTTTTCGCTCCGGATTGTTCCATTTCCTTCTCCTTGGGGAAGGAGGTGGGGAATATGCTGTCTGGTTGAGAAGGTTGCACCTTTGATATTAAACAACTGTTGAAATATTCTGTATGTTCCCTTCATGTGATCCCAGCTTTCACCGTGATGTTGTCACCTCGTGACGTGTTAACTGAGGTGTTTGTGGTTGGGGGCTTTTCTCTCAGACACATGCTCATTTGAATTCTCTCTTTCCTTGTTCCATCAGGACCAGTATGTTTTCCTCAATCAGTGTGTAGTGGATATTATCAGATCCCAGAAGGACTCAAAGGTGGATCTCATCTACCAGAACACAACGGCAATGACAATCTATGAAAATCTTGCGCCAGTGCCTACGTTTGGCAAGACAAATGGTTACATCGCCTGATTCCCAAGGAAAACCTCTCTGAAGTTAACCCGACCATCACACCCACAGCGAAGGAAAACGCCCTGCTGTTGACATGTTTTTATATGTCTACTATCTTAAATCTTTGTTCTGTTTTGTTCAAACTAATTTTGAGGGCGTGAAGCTGCACATATGTGACATGACATTTGAGAAGTTGGGGCTAGCAGGGGCTGTGGAGGGGTGGTGTGTAGATCAGCCACATTCCTGATGACCAATGGGATGAGTTCACTTTTTTTTTTTTTTTATTTGTTTGTTTCCCTTGAAGATTGTGGAAAACCAGGAAAAGTGAGCTATAGTTTTTTTTTTTTTTCTTCTTTTTTCAAAACAGATTCTTTTTAAAAAGACTATTTTATATGGTTCACATGCTAAAGCCAGGATGGTGTTGGGTTGAATATATTTTAAGTATCAGAGGTCTATTTTTACCTACTGTATCTTGGAATCTAGCTGATGGAAAATACAGAATCGTGGAGGATTATCATGTCGGGAGGGTGGTACCTCTTCCACATGACTTTTCTATTTGAACACGTGCCTTTTCTGAATTATTCTTCCACAGGCAAAACTCAGTAGATGTCTCTATTTTTGTATTGAATCTCATGATTGGAATATACGGAATATTTAAACAGTAGTTTAGGATCCCAGGTTCCACCTTCTCAGTAACATTCCTGCCCTCGTTTGGTGAGAGGAGGTCTCCCCGCTCCCCCGGACCCTTTCACTTCTGTTCTATTTTACTTCCCCTTCCTTCTGACGTTTCCCCAGAGACTCTTCTGTTGGCAGCGTTTTCAGCCCCTGGTTGGGTTACAGTGGGAACTAAGCATCACCTTGAGAATTTCCGAGGAAAGAAGAGAAAACCCTATTGTGACATAATCTCCTTTTCTTGACCCTCTTTTTATCCTTGTTCTAATTTCTGTATTTGGTAAGAAGGACTATTTAAAGGTGCAATATGTGACTTAGTGATTCATGATGCTCTAGGTTTTTAGTAATGTTTTACTCAGGTTGGCATTTTATGTGTGTCTGTGTGTTTCTGTGTGTGTGTGTTTAAAAGCGTGGCAATCTGTGAACACTTCAGTGTGAAAACAGTGTCAAATTAGCCCTTCCTCCCCCCAAATCCACTGGCTTTAGTCTCTCTCTGCCGTGACACATATTGGTATCTACTGTGTATATGTATATATGTATGTGTGTATATACATACATATATGTATACACTAAACTCTCAAAAACAGTCATTTGTATGAGTCAGAATTGAGGTGTACAGAGTTTAAATTTGTATCAAAGATGTAATTATTGTTTTTAAAACCTCTTTTCACTATACTGCTGCTGTAATTACCTTGATTTTTTAAAAATGTAGATTAATTTTTTTTTTTTTTTTTTGGGGTAATTTTTGCTTCAGGTGTATATCCACCAAGATTTTCAGAATTTATGTGGTTTATTTTACTGGTACATAATCTGTAGATTTCTCAAGGCATTAACATGAAAGGATTTGTTTCTTTTTGTTTTATATATTGTGGCTCAGGTGATCTTTTGAAGTTTTGAGTTTCTCCTCCAACAGGCAATGAAGTACACGAGGACTTAGGAAGGAATCACCCAGTCCCTGCAGTCCTGTGGCCGTTGTCCACAGTAATAAATCCTGCTGTAAACTTGGGACAAAGGTGTCCTACTGAAGATGGGGAGCGGGCTTGTCTTCGAGTCCCCTGGTCACTGTCGGTCTGTGGGAACCCAACCCGCCTTCTGATGCTGCCCTGCTCCTCACCTCACTGGCACTTTGATAGCTGTCTGGGCATGTAAATGGGTATTTTGGGCTTATAAAGGGTGAACCACAGAGATGTACAGCCCTTGATGCCCTTCAGAGCTTTAGTGTTCTATGTCTTTTGTTCCCCTTTCCCTTTGAGGTACTGAATGGATGAAAAGGAGAGGTGGTGGGGTGTTCACTTACTTTCCAAGTGAAAATTGCACTTTTTTTGCTGGATCCTTGGCTTTCTTTGGGAGCAAGTGGCTCCTTCAGCGTCAGGCCTTTGAAGGACTGGGCCGATCAGACCAGGAGTGCCCTTGTGGCTCAACGTCGGAGGGGCTTTGGCTCTGTAGGTCTGAATCAGGGAAGTTATACTGTCCCTAGGGTGGAAAGGGAAGCTGGAGTCGAGGGATTGCCCTTCACCCGTGCAGATCTCTGAGAGGTCTGTGACTTTGTTCGGCGACCCTGTGGGCCACACTCTTTCCCACTCCAGTTTGTCTGGAAACCATTGTGATGGGCATAGAAGTATCCGATTCTGTTCAGATGCTTAGCCCTGCCTACCTCTCTAACCTGGAGATGGGGGTTCATGCTGCAGGGAATTCAGAGGAGAGGGCTTGGCCCTGAAAACCCTTCAGATGACTAAAACAACAATAATTATAAGTATACTGTGTTTAAAAAAAAAAACAAAACCAACAAAAGTCAGAAACTACCTGGTATGGGCTTGGGAGGGCAGCGGTCCCAGCCAGCTGCTCTGGGACATCACCTGAGTGCTGGGACAAAGGCTTGTGTGGAGAGGTCTGGAATTCCAGTGGGCAGATTGCACGCAGGTCATGATGCTTCTCTGCAAACTGGAGAGAATGGGGGACAGGGCCAGTGGGCGGGGAGGGTATTCACAGCTCAGTGATGGGAAAGGAAAGACTCACTTATAAATGTAAAGTAAGGGACACGTGCGGTGATGGTTGGCCAGAGGCAAAAGTGCCGTGTTTCTGAGCTTCCACCCCAAACCCCTTCTAGGAACAATGAGCTAACGTTTGGAAAGTGCAGTGGAATCCTGTGGGGCTGGCTGGTGTTTGACATGGGGTCTTTCCTTTGCTTAGTATTTGACAACTCCATGCAGACAAACAGGCAGTGTGTGTGGAGTTGGTAGCAATGAGAGGACTTAAGCTTGGTGGCCAGCTGATGTCTGGGAGTCGGGCCAATACTGTCTTCTGCCAAAAGCAGGGGCTTTTGCCTCCGAAGGAGAATCTAGTGATGGACATTTGGGGTCTGTTCATTGTGGCCATATTGTGACCTCCAGCCAGACTGGCATAATTGACTCCACTGGATTTGTGCTTTGAAAAGTCAGGGGCTCCCGGGGTTGGGTGGGGGTCTCCCATGCAGCTGATTCATGTTTGCTTTCCACGTGGGATGGGAAAGCTTGGTGTTTTCTTTTTAAAATGCTTGATTGCGCTTGTTTCGCTAAACAAGTCTTGGCGACTGATACTGATTTGCCTCAAAAGTCCAAGTTCTGAGTTTTCAGACTACTGTGTAGCAGTTGTGTGTTTAACATACCGTAGCTTTTTCTCCTTCGGGGGCCATAGAAATAGGAAGTATTGATGTGGACTCTAAACTGTAATTTTCTTGTAACTATTTTGGAATGATGCATATTTCTAATGTTTGTTATACTTGTACAGAGTATTGCTGTTGGTTGCTTTTTTTTTTTTTTTTAAAGGAAAAAAATGGCCTGAATAATTTTTTAAAAAGACTTACAAATACCAAATATTAAAAAAAAAAAAAAGAAGTCAACACATTCTGCCTTTGTTTCTTTTTCTTTTCTTTCCCCCTTCCCTACTTAATTTCCATAGGAGCTCCAATAGCGTAGTGCCTAAGGCACTTGACTGCTAACCAGAAGGCTGGCTGTTCAAACCCACCAGCCACTCCTTGGAAAGAAGGTTGGGCAATCTACTTCCATAGTGATACTGCCTCAGAAATCTAAGGAGGGGTCCCTGTGAGTTGGGGCCGACTCGATGGCACATAACAAGAACAACAACTTAATTTCCATATGATTTACCAAGCCTAGACCACTGGCCTGGATGCCATTGGGGCATCTTTAACAAAAACACATTTCCCTTCTGCATTTTCCATACGCAGGTGATGAAGTGAGGAGAGACTTGGAAGAAGTGACTGTGCGTCCTCACATGTTGCATTTGCATTCAAAGGTCTGGGGGCTTCAATCTGCAGGTGGACAGATACCCATTTGGTGGTGGCCTACATGTGCTAGGCAAGTTCTGGGATTTTGAGAGGGACTTCGTTGATGGATTTGAGAATCTTAGAATTGCTGGTGATGCATCGGTTAAACACTCCACTGCTAATGGAACGGTTGGTGGTTGGAACCCACCATTGACTCTGCGGAAGAAGAGACCTGACCATTTGCTCATGTGAAGGTCCTAGGGGACCGGGTGGGGGTAATTTTACTCTGTCACGTAGGGTCACTGTGAGTTGGAATTGACTTGATGGCACACAACAACAACAACAACAACAACATGGCAATTTGGAGTCCTTGGGTGGTGGTGGTGGTGGTGGTGTGCCTTCAAGTTAATTCCAACTCATAGTGACCCTCTACAGTTCATGTGCTTGGCTGCTAAGTGAAAGGTTGGAAGTTCGAGTCTACCTGGAAATGCCTGATGATCTCCCTCTGAAAAATCAGCATGTTTCTACTCTGCTGGACATGGGGTCGCCATGAATTGGAATCAGGCAATTGGTACTGGTAGGGCAATTCAAACTGAAAACAAAAACAACAAACCCGATCCCATTGCTGTTGAATTGATTCCAACTCAGTAATCCTATGGAACAGAGTAGAACTGCCCCTTAGGCTTTCTGTTATTTTTACAGAAGCAGACTGCCACATCTTTTTCTCATGGAGAGACTGGTAGGTTTGAACTACCAACCTTTTGGTTAGTGAGCAAGCACTTAACCACTGTACCATCAGTGCTTGCATTTCATTTCTCTCCCTCCACCCTAGTGCAAACCGTAAGCAGGCTAAGGTGGTTTTGTTTTGATATATCTCATTCTATATATCTGAGTCTAATTAATTAGGTAACAAATTAATTCAACAGCTGTTAGAGTGCCTGCTATGTATACCTCAGTGGTTAGGGTTTAATAGTGAACAAAGCAGACAAAAATCCCTGCCCTCATGGAGCTTACATTCTGATACTGGGAGACAAGCAACATTTGTAAATAAAGTCTTCAGTATCTTAGATGGTGCTAAAGTGGAGAGAAATAACACTTCACACCTTAAGGCACCAACTCATCATTGTCACACCATACATGGTGCAGTTACATCGGGTCTAGGAAAAGGCCCTTCTGTAAAGTGCTTCAACACAACCCCTGCTTTGGGGGAAGTAGACTGTTTGGGCTGTTTGGATAGTAGCAGTGCACACTTCTCAGACCCGTGGTGAATGATTTGTTAGGTGCTGTGGGAAGACAG